CGCATACAATTAAGAAGCTGTTAATGAAATTATAATCCAGTAATCACTTTTCTGTTTCATAATTTAAAAAATAAAATATGTTTCGGGATTTGTGGAGATTGTAGTATTTTAACAGTTCTAACAGATCCTGTTAGATATGAACACCATTAGATGCTGGTTCACTGATCTGGAGGTTAAACGATTGTGCATCAGAGCGAAGATCCTGGATTAAAATCCTGTATGCGTGATCGTCGATGTGCATTGCTGAGGAGTCTCATACTGGGATGAAATGGCAATCCAGGACTTCCGGGTTTTCAGTAGTGGTCTAGTTTAGATTGATTGATAAATTGATCTGTTAAAATAAAATATGTAATTGAATTTAACAAATGAACGACCTTTGAGTGACTCTAGACTGACCTTGAGAGTGTCCACTTAATAACCAGGACCAAATGAGAGTTAAAAACCTGTGTGAGGAATTAAAATTATGATTTACAGTTGAAGATTAAGGTTAGGACTTAGATTTCGGGTATTCATCACGAACTGACATAAGCTATAATGTCAAAACTCTATTTAGCCAAACGGATGAGTGAATTTCGTTTCAAAATTCGAGATCTGTTATCTTATACGTGATTGGTTCGTCCATAAATCATAGTCTCACCAAAATGACAATAATATTTGATAATCATCTATGAATAAAATACATATAAACATAAGTTTTATGCTATTGATGTATTGTAAGTTAAAGGATTATGTTACAAATTATGTTTTAAAGTGATCACTCGTAGATTACCACTATTACGATAAGATGATAAGTCTTTGAGACTTGAACGCTATATTCGTCTCTTAAGCTATTCTGTAACCCCCAAGCTAGAACTATACGGCGACCCGAACACGAGAGAGAATACTCAAAGTATGCGAGAAGTAGTTTACTCCAAGGTTCATTTTAATACAGAAAATACAGGGTTTTTATAATATTTTAAATGTCCTTGGGTTGCTAGAAGATTCTGGAATGCTACTAAACATAGTAGCAGTGTAGCAGCCGACCAATCAGAGCCCCTGCATGTGATGTTTTGTTTCCTTGATATTTTTGACTAAGACTTCAAGTGAATGCTGATTGGATGAAACACTTCTCAGTGTTTCCTGATGCTTGAATGTCTTGTGCAAGCAATTTTCTGGATCACCCTAACATAAGAAATCTTCCTCAGATGGTTATAACATATTGATTTTATATTGTTAAGCGATAAGACTTTTCAAGATCTAAAGACTATATACTATATACCTAGTTTTTGTTGAAAAGCTTAGATATTTTAAACAGTTAAATCAAATATATTACTCATTTACTTATGCCCGTTACTCCCAGTGGAGAATAGGCCGCCGACCAACATTCTCCAGCCCACTCTGTCCTCGGCCTTCCTTTCTACTCCTACTAAATTGTTATTCATTCTTCTCATATCTGTCTCCATTTTCTGGAGTAGTGTGTTCTTTGCTCTTCCTCTACTCGTTTGGCCCTGAGGATTCCATGTGAGCGCTTGTCTTTCCTTAATGTGTGTCTTATCCACTTCCAGCGACTTTTCCTGATTTCTTCCCCCAATGGGATCTGGTTTGTTAACTCTCACAGTATGTTGTTGCTGGAAGTGTCTGGCCAATGGATCCGAAGTATGTTTTGTATATAACTGTTAATAAACACTTGTATCTTCTGGTTGATTGCTTTCGTACTTCTCAAAGTTTCCACTCCATACAGTAGAACTGTCAAGACATTTGTATTGGAAATTCTGACTGGTTTTGTTTGACAGTTGTTTTGAGTTACATATGTTCTTCAATTGTAGATATTCTGCTCTTGCTCTGTCAACCCACGTCTTTATATAAATAAAATATATAGAGCATATAACTTGATTCCAACTTTGATCGTAAGTTGGTATTAATTCTAGAATTGTTGAAAAGGAGATAGTAATGTACCGAAAAATCTAGAAATCCTAAATTATATCCGGATTACATTATTAGTGTGCTTTACTGAACAGTATAGAATCAAGATAAATGAGCTGAAGTGTTCAGTAGTTTTCATCGATATCATTATATAATATAAACGTTATTTTGTTAGAATGATTGCCTAGTTATTCAGTAGATTAATACCCGTCGGTTAGTGAAATCATTTGATGTTGGTCTGTTCAACTACTTACATATATCCTAGTTATGTTCATGTTGAGGTGATCCAGAAATCGGTTGCAAAAGACAAGCAAGCATCAAGAAACACTAAGAAGTGTTTCGTCCAACCAGCGTTCATTTGGAGTCTTGGCCAGAAATATCAAGGTAGCGAAACGTCACATGCGGAAGCTCTAACTGGTTGGCTACTACAGTGCTACTATGTTTAGTAGCATTCCAGAATATTCCAACGACCCAAGGACGTTTAGATATAGTATAAAAACCCTATATTTTCTGAAATAAAATGAACCTCGGAGTAAAGTATTTTCCCTCATACTTGCGTCTTCTCTCTGGTGTTCAAATCGCTATGCAGTTCTAGCTTTCGGGGTACCAGAATAGCTTAGGAAACTAATATAGCGTTCAATCGATAAGACTTATCAGTTCAGCTAGCTGTTTTGTTTATCAGTGCTTAGAATCTATTAATTCCTTATCGTTTCCATACTTTTCATCATCAAATTTCATTTCCTTGATAGGTATTCAACAATAATGATTCTATGATTAGTCTTAGTTTTTATTTTCAATCTATTCACTTTTCTCTTACTATACCCAAAGATAAAATGTACTTATTAAAACTATTGACTAATTTTTCAACATTCTACTTGTCGATAAATGAATGGATGATTACATTCATCATACAACTAAATGATAGTATCAAGCAAACAGTCATGACCATGTATTATCTCCAATTGATTAAAGTTCAAAATATATACCATAAGGTATCAGTTCAATGACCTAGAGGTCGAAAGTTCAAGTGTCAGAGTGAAGGTCTTAAGTTTCATCATCGGTGAAATAATACATGTGTGCTAATGATCAATTTCATATTCGAACAAAACAACTATTCAATATTTCCTAATACTTAATAGAAACTTAATTAGAATCATTGAATGATGTAGTCTATGGATAATATATATATATATATATATATACTACTTATTTTTATAAGTTTGTCTTGGTAAAGCACAAAATTTAGTTGCTAGACTATTTTTTCATGGGTAAATTGTAAAAAGATATATACCAGAAGTTAAACAGAAATATATATATAGTGTCCAGTAATCTATCTATACAAACTGATTCATTTTCAATGTTGATTAATCTATTTCTTAATTTAAACTTATATAATCATTTTTGTAAGCAATGATGGATAGTGGCTAGCAGTGGAATCCAGGACGCGCGTTTCATCCTATTTAGGACTCGTCAGCTGGATATATATTCATTTCAGAGTTGATGTTCACTCTGGGACTCGAACCTATTACCATTCGCTTCAAACTCCATCTCATTATCCACTTAGCTACTGAGTCCTGATAGCCACTTGCTTGTGCAATGGGGTGAATTTCACTCCACTTGTTATTATTTGGCTTGTATCTTCCCACTGATGTTTAGCACTGCAATTGATCAGTCCAGGATTCCACTGCTAGCCACTATCCATCATTGCTAACAAAAAGCTTATGAATTAAGGCGATATCAAGGCATACTCACAGTATGCACATATGCCGATAACAGACTGATCAATTTCAGTTTTAAACGTCAATGGGAAGATACAAGCCAAATAATACCAAGTGAATTATATTATCATTCCGCTAATAGGACTGTTAATATAAAATGAAAGTAAATAATACGCATTTTCTTGGGAAAAGGGATACTTTTAGTTAAATAATTTATAACCGCAGGTAGTTTGTATTAGAAATCTCTAATTTATAATTAAATGGATATATGAAAAATATTTGTTAAATAAAAAGTCTAATATGAATGTCAGAAAGGGTTTTTGTGGATATTTTAGTAATTTAATAGTTAAATTCATGAGTCAATCAAAGCTACACTACCATGGAAACCCTGAGACTCCGCAGCAGTGTGCATTCACGATCCCACTTGTGTAATTCGAACCCAAGACCTATCGGTCTCGTGCGCCAACGCTTAACCTCTAGATCACTGAGTCGGCATTGAATCCGGCGAGTGGGATCGTGGATGCGCACTGCCGAAGAGTCCTATACTTAGACGAAATGGCAGTCCAGTGTTTCAAGGTTTTCCATGGTGGTTTAGCTTTAATTGATTCATGAATTTAACCATTAATATTAATGTACCTATGATAGATATCGTTGGAGTATGAACTTTAGTGATTGAAAAATTATGAATAAATACCTCAACCATTGAGTCAGAATATTTTGGCTTGAATATGGTGTGAATGAAGTAATAGATAAGTTACAGAATACGCTATGAAACAATGGTTCTCTACTCTATTCCCTAAAAAAGTATGCGTTTGGACCGAAAAAGAGGTAAACAGCTGACAATGATTACCTCATTTTAAAGAAGATATGATGATATATATTTTAACACACCAACTTGGCAAATCTGTTGAAATTACACTTACCTCTGCATAGTTGTATGTTACCTTCCCTATTAAACTGGTATTTAAACAATAATTCAAAGATAAGAATTCGATGATGAACTTTTTGATGTATGTAATAATTCGACAGCTCTTGTGCAGCTAATTACACAGGTCGTACTCAGTGGGATTTATCATTGCGTGTTTGTGAATATAAAACTTCATGGTTAGGAAAAAGAGTTATGATACTTTCCACTCAGTAGAAAACAAATATCACGTCAAAACAGATCAACTCTTCTTTGATCTCTGGAAAGTTTTGAATAACCTATATAAAAGAGTAATACTAACGTTCCTCTAACTAGAGGAAGTCGTCAGGATCAACTCTGAAAAAGTGGAACTTATACATCTAAAAAAGGAGCATTCACCAATTCCGTTTACCGTGAATTACAATTGGATCATCCTATATATATAAGTCACAAATCAAAAACCTTTACTCTTTATAACCCTTTTATATTTATCACTGTTTTAATCTATTTTCAGTTTTAATATTCGTCTCTCTCGATACATATAAATTTCTTATAGTAATTATCATGACGGCACTTGCATTATTACATATTATATTCTCTCGTTTCTATTGTCATTATCTGGACTAACTTTACAGAACATTCTTCCTATTATCCACTTTATTCGCGGGATTTGTTTTATTACACTGACTGGAACTGTACACCTTATAACAAATTTTCCTATATGGTTCTTCAGTAACCTTTAGAATTTACAAAATACAACTGTGAACGTATTTTACCCGTAAAATCTACAAAAGTCCACCATTTTAACATATCACATTGTTTAATATACTTACTTATGTATCCCACTGTAATAAAATAATTATGGATTTATAACTTAAGATTCTGATGATGAGGCGATTAGAAACAATGGTTCACCCAAATATTCCTTATTTTTGAATATTTTATAGAGATCGTCAAACCGTTAAAAAACTCTTGTAACATATAATCAATTTATATTTGCATGGTTCATCAATCCAGAGATTTGTGTGGACCAATGTTAGACCACCATTGAAAACCTGGAAACACCAGATGACCGTTTCGTTCTAGTATGCGACGCCTCAGCAACGCACATCCACAATCCTGCACGTGGGGCTCGAACCCATGACCCTTGGTTTCGTGTGCGAATGCTTAACCTGTAGAACATGTTGTAACTTTAAGCCCGGTTAATTATCAGGCGATTTATTTGCCAATCGTAACGCGGCTTATGCAATCATACTACTGAGCCAAACTAATGACGTTCGACCAGTATGAGCAGCCTAGCGTCCTTACACATAATATTCGTTCATTAATAGTTCACAGAAGTTACCAGCAATTTAATATTCACTAGGTTATAGCATAACAGTGATACGGCATCCAACGGTGTTAATGTCTAATTCCAACCAATCCAGGATACTGAGCGATTGGTCATCATTGTCTTTAGTGTGTAACTCAATTCATTAATTCGATTCATCTTTATCAAGTAACAGTAAATAGGAATTGAGATGTTAAACTGAAATTACATATATTCAACGTGTGATATTTTATATAAGCCGGTTAAATCAAATAAATTCTTAAAGCATCATTAACATTATTTTACGGATGTTTTATAAACTTGTGTTTATATGCATTACATTTTGTCTATTAGAAGTAAGAAACCTCAAATGTTGATAAAGGGTACTTATGATCTTGATCAATTATAGACATGCTATGAAAGGTTAGACTCATAGAATGTATATTTTATAATGTTTTTATTCTATCGACTAAAAATCTTTCGTTATGCTTAACCATTTTTGTGTTCGTCCAAGTTTTTCGATTATTAACATTTTACATTTCTTTTATACACTAACAGATGCCTGGAATTGTAATGGACAGAAATACTGGATCTACCATTGGTACCACACCACATGGCCGATGGATTGATCAACAGCAATATCTTGTTGAAACATATCGTCAGATTCGTACAAATTTAGGTCAGTTAGAAGCTGAAATAGAAGCTGCACGATTAAGAGTCACTGATTGGACACGATTAAGACGACATCCTAGTCGTAGTCGTAGTTTGAGTCATGCTAGTGTTTCAACTACTGCAAGTAGTTTATTAAGTTGTAGTACATTTGAAAGTGGTGCAACCGATGCTTCATTTTTAAATGTTACAACAGATGGTACTACTGGTTCATCATGTCATTCATCATGTTCATCAACATGTGGTATTCAACTACCTTCAGAAATGGCAGCTAAATTAAGTGCAGCAACATTAATTTCAGCATTTTTAGCTGCAAGTCATGATTTCACTCAAGATAAAACTCAAGATTCAACTATTTCAGATGATTTAGAACAACCTATTAGAGCTCGTACACCAGATCAATGTTCATCGTCTAATAGATCACGTTCCAACAGATCAATCTCACCTTCATCACGATGAAATGATTAAATATACACGAGGCAATATATATATATATATAAATATATATCTATATACTCAGGGTATTGGGTATTCATAATAAGTTTGATGACATAAATCTTAATTCATTTCATGGTTGACTTTCATAACATTCTGGATCTAATTAATAAAAGAAATGCATTTTTACTAAATATTCCATTTCATTCATTGATACAAAATAACAGATTTGTATTTGCATTGATTTACATACAGTACTTTACATCTTTTTATTTACTTTATATATACTCATATATATATATGTAACCATTTATGGTCATAATTATGTTGTGTGATTGTTGTTGTTGTTTTCATAAACATGCTGTAGGTCTGTCTTTCAAGCTTATTATTAAATCACTTTAAAAAAAGGAAACAACGTAAATATCAACCATGTACTTTTAATAAATTGTCATCCTTTTTTCTTACTTATTTATTTACTTACGCCTGTTACTCTTCATGGAGGAGTATAGACCGCCCACTAATCCTTTTTTCTTGATTTAACGAATTATGATGCATTATATGTCTGTGAAATATTAATTAAACATTGAATAATTATTACATTTGTGGAGTGTTGGAATATTGAATGTTTTTTTTCTTGAAAGAGTCCATTTGTCTTTTTGCAAGTGTCCTCTTTTGCTGTTGTTGTTGTTAAGTTCATCTGTAAATTCAATGATTTTTTTGTTTGTTCATCATTAAGTGGTTCATTAGCTACTGTCTTTTCTTTTCAAGTGATCCAATTCATTTTAATAATACTTTTTTTAAAGAAAAAAACAGACTGTAAACTTCTATTTGTGTTTTGACAATGGTGACATCATGGTTACAATTTGCGGGAGTCTAGTTTCATCTTTCAGGAGTTTCTTTTCTTTGGCAGTATTATTAGAAAGGCGTTCTGTTGAGTTCATGAGTCAATTGAAGCTATACTACCTGGAAGCACTGGATGGATGTTTCACCCTATTACGGGAATACTCAGTAGGGGGCATTCACGATCTTGCCCTGCGGGATTTGAACCCAAGACCTATTCGAATTCGGGACCTACCGGTCTTAATCTCTAGGTCACTGAGCCGGCATTCAACAGTGTCAAGGTGTAACTTCAACCAATCCACACAACTAAGCCACTGCCCACCAATGGCTTAGTTTTAAAATCATATTCGAGCCACAAAGACTATAGGATTACTTAGATCTCATTTTATAGTTGAACTAATAGGATGGTAATTATCAGTGTAAGATTGTGAAGATTGTTAATTTTTTGATTGAGATTATGAATCGATAAATGTTAGACCATCACTGAAAACCTGGAAGAACTGGACGGCCATTTCATCCTAGTATGGCAGTCCTCAGCATTATGGTAATCTGAATAAGTTATATGTGGATATATTTATTTCAACATTTCATACATTCACCGTGGATGCAATATGTACGTGGGATTTTCACTGATGAATATACTTACTAACAGAATTGCAAAATGTATCTTGTAACAAGTTAGCTATAAGATTATTGTGTTTTAATTAGATTCACAAGTATTGTGCTCGACAGTATTTACAATTGATTGATCACCGGGTGGTTATCAATGTCATGTATGTCAGGTACTTCTTAGTGCAGACTGAATCCTATTGACCGAGTTGCGATGTGACCACCAGTTTTGGTGACTCGACATACATGCATTTTGTTGAGATAAGATGGTGGTTGGAGGTAGTCAACAAGAAACCCTGAACCCAGGTTTCGTGCTATTTTGCATTTGTCAGCAAGGTGTACCCGTAGTCGTGAGGGAACCGGTGCTCCCTGACGGATTCGACCCTGTGTCATCCAGCTTCATTGTCAGAGACGTAACCACTGAGCTATCCGCACCTTGACCAACCTCATGTAGGACTACCTCCAATCACCATCTTAACTCAACAGCAATATTATATTACATTTAATTTACATGGCATCATTTTTATAACTTATTGAAAATACTTAATCATCATGTAGAATAAGATTTTATGCATTGAAAGTGATTGGTATTTGACATAACCATTTGATTTTCTAATTTTTACTGAAGATAGTTAACATTAAATCAGTTAACTTTCATGATATTGTTTGTGATCTATATCCCAAATGTTCGTGGAATTATTATTATTTTGTAGATCTCAAAATAACCATCATTGTGTTTGAGGTGGCCTGCCTGAATATCTGGGTTACCTGTTCCTGCCATCTGGATATTTCAACAAGCTATCTGTTTCCTTGATTGTTTTAACACATCATTATGCCAAAATGACAACCATAGAAAACCTGGAAGCACTAAACGGCCGCTTCGTCCGATTGTGGGGCACACTCGGTTGAACTCCACTGGTCACTGCTTCTCACTAGAACTCCAGTAAATACCTCTTGAAACCAATCATTAGTGAGCATATACTAATTAGTATGAGAAGGGATTTTTTGGAGATTGTAGTAGTTTCAATATTTGAGATCATGAGTCAGTTGAAGTCTGTTGTGAGATAGTAACTCATTGATGACAGTGGTGGATGTGTCACCTAATTTCGTTGATTAGTTGGAGCTAGACATTAACACCATTGGATATCGACCGGCTCAGTGGTCCAATGGTTAAGCGTTCGCGCGCTAGACTGATAGGTCCTATGTTCGAATCCCACAAGGCGGAATCGTGGATGCGCACTGCTGAGAAGCTCCACAATCAGAGGAAGCGGCCGTCTAGTGCTTTCATGTTTTCCATGGTTGTCTAGCTTTAATTGACTCATGATCTCAACTATTGAAATCTATTTTATTTGTCCAAACTATGTAAATTATTCAAATATTTCAAGAAAAACAACAGAAACCTTGTATTTTTAGATAGGATATTTGTTTCGTTTTAGTCTCTTCTTGATTTTGAATAAATAATTAGTGGAGACAACGACACGTTCACGAATTAATCTCAAGGTCTAAGTTAACTGATGTCTTGTTTCAAATAATGTAAAAGATTCTGGCTGTCATCATTTGGAACTTCGGTCCAGTGGCAATTAGCATATGCTTGTACATTCATTTTATGCAGACTTTTGCGTGAAACATACAAGTAATAAATGGATTGTGAACACAAGTATGTAACGCCAATTATAAGTGGAATACCTGAAAGCAGATGGTTGGGAAGAACAAATCGAAGAGAACGGGAACAGAGATTAATTGTTATGACAATGAAGGAACGATGAAGTTTATGACAACTGATGGAGGATTGGGAAATAAAATATTGAACGTATGGCTTCCACATTTGATGAAAGAACTTTTTTTTTGAAAATATATTGGTTGTCACTACCTACACATTTACATATTGTTTTTTTGCTTTATCAACGACAGCGGAAACCCCTGTGGTATTAATGGTGAGATATATTTTACAGCCTAGTTTTTATGCCTTTTTCTGTCTATCGTCAGGCTTAATCAATACAGCTATTGGTTGGTCAGTAGTATAAATGTATCATTTATCCTGAGGTTTATTATATTTGACTGTATCAATTTGTCTAACCAATATATATCGATCATTTGGGAAATTACAACACTATCTCATTTATATTATGTTTGTTAATCCCTATAGTAATGCTTATCATGCACCATAGACTTACAATTGCACTGAATATTATTAAATGTATAGAAACATATTTGTTCGATAAAGCGTTCTTATCGGCGAATTAAAAAGGTTAAATATAATTAACTTCATAATGTTAACTATACAACTTAACAATTTGCATACACCCTCTTGAATATAAATTTATGCGCAAGCATTCATTGTAATTAGCTTAATGTAACAATTACAGATCCCAGAATGTATAAAGATAGTAAGTACATTTTACTAAACTAATACCGTATACTGATTGAAATCATGAATTAATTGAAGCTAGACCACCATGGAAAACCTGGAGGCACTGGATGGCCGTTTCGTCCTGGCATGGGACTCCTCAGCAGTGCGCATCCACGATCCCGCACCCCGCGAAATTCAGACCTACGACCTATCAGTTTCGCACCAGGCGCTCGTGAATGCACACACACCACAATGCGTCTAGGTAGTTGATTTTTAAAAGTTACGTATATCTTTTGGCAATTATGGAAGTGAATATTGGATAGGTCAATTAATTGATATTATGACAATGGTACACGTAGAGCTTTTATTTTAAAAACGAAATGAATTACCCTGAATCACTAATGAAAATCATATTGATAAATAATTCGCTGAAGTTGGTTTTGAATATCAAATAAAAAATAATTATCAGTATAGGGTTATAGAGATTGTTACTAATAATTATCATGTGCTCACTAGTGACTAACTTTAATATGAGTTGCCTGGAGTTGTAGTGAAAAGCTGTGACTAGTGGGGTTCAACCGTGTCTATTGTAGAGGTAGAAACTCACTGAAAACAATGGTGAATGGTTGCGGAATTTCGTGGATTGATTGAAGTTAAACAGTAACACCGTTCGATTCCCGCTCAGTGGTTTCGAGGTTAAGCGTTTGCGCACGATACCGAAATGTTCTGGGTTTGAGTGCTGTATGTGGGATTATGGATGCGAACTTTTGAAGACTTTCATACTAGGATGAAACGGCCGTTCAGTGCTTCCACGTTTTCCATTACTACAATCCGCACAAAAACCTCTTCATTTAGATTCATTCTTTAGGACAAATGTATGCAGAAGAAGAATGATGTTATTCAACAAAATATTTTGTCACCATCATACATCAACAAACGCCTAAACTGTTACTAAAAGTCTCTTTTCTTTACCGAGGTTTAGCTTCTAGATTAGTTTTTATTGAGAACAACTTAAGTTGTTTTTTTTATAGGGAGGAGGGCGAATTACTCACCATGTAATCACAGTCATATTTCTGAATGAATTAAATATATAACTCTGTTTAAAATAACATTTTTTGAGTATTAGAAACTAAATACTAATCAAAATGCCACCGAAATCTAATTACTTTGCTAAATAAATAAATAAAAACTACTATTCATGGTTGAATTTGTGAGCTGACATCCA